GGCTCCTGGGCTGCCAGAGGGATGTCTGACTGCCAGCTTAGGCCTGATCCCCGGGGAGTGGGGCTAAGCCAGCAGGTGGACATCCCCTGAGGGGTTCCAGACTGGAAGAGGGTACAGGCCGGGCTGAGGAACCCCCCTGAGTGCACAAATTTTTGTGCACCAGGCCTCTAGTAATTTATATTTAAAGTATGTCTTTGAATCCTTAACTTTTAAAAATGTAAACTCTCCAGAGAGATCATTAGATCATGGTCATTTCAGATTAGTTGTTTCATTATTTATTCTGAACTTAGGAAAAGATCACACAAAGCTCACGTAAAGATCTTTTCCTAAGTTCAGAATGCTTAGCATCCATGCTTTGGGTTTTTGCTTTAGTATCTTGGAATTACAAATACAGTATATAGAGCTAAGTAATTCTCCCATCCAGGAATGGAGAACTGAAGCACTGGCCAAGAGGACGACATCTCCCAGAATTTCTAAATAAGAATCACAGAAAGTTCTGATTCAGTTGGTATGTGGTCATATGCAAACGTCCCGAGTCTTTTTTTTTTTTAATATATTTTATTGATTTTTTACAGAGAGGAAGGGAGAGGGATAGAGAGTTAGAAACAGTGATCAGCTGCCTCCTGCACACTCCTGCTGGGGATGTGCCTGCAACCAAGGTACATGCCCTTGACCGGAATCGAATCTGGGACCTTTCAGTCCACAGGCTGACGCTCTATCCACTGAGCCAAACCAGTTAGGGCCCAAGTGAGTCTTATCAAAGAAATTTGGCCAACACTGCCAGAGATTCCCAGATTTTAAGTATTCCCCCATTGTGCTCTAAATGCAAGGTGTGGTGAGAGGGCCTGTGCTCCAAAGAAGGAGTTCAAGCTACTAGTGAGTCTGTTTATTCAAAAGCACTTAAGCACTACTGAGCAGGAGGTCACAACAGAAGATTTGGTCTTGTCCTCTGCCCATAAGGAACTTGCTATATAATGAACTGTAAAACCCATACTTTATCATATCTCCTGGAATTGCCTGGAATTTTAAATTGTCAAGCAAGTAATGGACCTCAAAAGTTGGTCTAGTAGAGCATGGTTGTCAAAATATAGTCCCAGCGGTATCAGCACCAAATAGTTAGGAATGCAAACAATCAGACCTTAACCCAGGTGATTAATAAGCCCCCGGGTGATTCTGATGTTCTCTCAAGTTTGGGAACCACTGGCCAAGCAAAAGGAATCTCCTTCAGCAGTTTCTCCACCTCCGTCGCTGAATACTTCCAATACTTTGCTTCCCTCCCAGTCCATTAATCTCTCCCCCGCCACCCTATATCCGATCAATCAGATTCACAAAAATAAGCTACACATTTCAAAAAGAACATAAAACTTTATTAAGAACATTTTATATTGTCATCAGATAAAGCCAAACAAATAGGGGTAAAGAAACAGGGAAACTTCATCTTCCCATGTGCTATTGCCACGTCAGAACACTCATATGTGCGGCAACCCACTTGGGTCCCCTCCCAATAAACTTTGCATTCGCTTATATAAAAAAAAAACAAAACCAATAAAAAAAGAACACTCGTGTGGATGGCTGGAATTACAGGTGGAAAAAAATCCTCTGTATAAATTCAGTAGGTAATTCAATGCTCCCTTTCAACACAGAGAACTGGGTTTACACTTTTAAAAAAAGCTTCATATAGCGCAACAACTATGAAACAGTATTTTACCTTTAGGAGCTATTTCTTAATAGAATACAAAGCAGTTTAGTAGCTTATGTTATTTCATATAATGTCAATTTTTAGAATGGAAATTTCAGAAATGACATTCTAACTTTCCCAACTAATTTGTACTTGAGTTTCTTCATTCTAAAGATTTCTCAGAACCAGTTCAATCACTCTGAGTGTTGCTCATCTACAGTGACAACTGACAGCCTAGTTTTTGTTCTTTTAATTTTGCAAATCAAGATGGCTGGGTCATCCCAGCTTTTGTTGATTCTGAAGGAGTTCCCATAGAAAAGCCTGATGGTTCAGAGTGCCTGTGAGAGAAGGTGCCAGAACAGCTGCATCTGGACCCTTTTCCTAGAGGGAGGCTGGCTACTGAGCACAGCGGATCTGACTCCCGGCTGCCCACGTGGTTCTTTACTTACTGTAGTGATGGAAGGAGCAGAGGGAACGCCAGGGAATCTGCTCAGACTGCCACTCCAGACAGCTGTCACTGTTTGTAGAGAAAAGAGTGATGGTATCCATTCACACTACAGCACCCCTATGCAAGTGGGGCGTTACACTTTTCTTTTGAGGGGCCAGGCCAAACTGCACTCAAAGATACATGGTTTGCCTCACATGCACAGTGGAGAAAATGCTCATGATTTAGAATTTGGTATTACAATACCCACATCTAAGCCCATTTCTTGAGAAGTAGTCTACCTTTTAGAAAAGAAGACTACTTACTACTAAGGCTTACCATGTTTTAACTGTCATAAGGCTGAAAATGTAACTTCTAAACCACACCATATCATTTGTGTTCACAGTCAGTGAATTAACCAACAACCAAAGATTTGAGAAGGATTGGTCATAGGGTGGGGTTGAGGTTCAGATTCAGGTTGAGTACTATCACTTATCACAAATTGCATCAAGCTCTTTAAAAAAATAATGCATTTTTATAATAAATATTTAGAGCAGACACTGGCATTAAAATCAGTATCTAAGTCAGAAGTCTGTCTTAAATGGTGAAAATATTCCAACAAATTTCTAATAGATTTCAAAGCTTCCCAGGCATACACACTTTATAAATTAGTTTTAAGGGGAAAAAAATATATTTTGAATGAATAAATCACCACTTTAGCATATCATAAATAAGGTTAAGAGTTTGAAAATAAATTAAAATACAAGTTTTTGCTTTCACTTTAACAAAAAAACCTAACTTACATGATACGCTTTTAAAACAGTATAACTAGGTTTTTATAATTGTGCATTTGTTCCACTCATCTACCAAGCTGAATCTTTTTCTTACATATCCTACAGAGGGACGGGGGACACAAGACAGACACCTCAATGTATGAGTCTGACTACTGCACATCATTTGTCAACTACATTAATTATGTCAACATGAATTATATCCATGATTAAGTGGGTTAGGTTCCCAGTGAGTTTTCTGTGGTGGTGTTCACACGGAACCTAACCATAATTGTTTCTGTGAGAACATGTGCCCCAACTCCCAAAAGGTAACTAAAAAGCTTTGGACTAGAAGCCGGATGAATGGGAACCACTTACATGTGTCTGCTCTGAAGAAAGGTTAAATTGTTAGAAGCACTGTTTCCAGAACTACTGGCTATTAAAAATAAAGATTTGCCTTCTTCACATATAAATTCTTTTTATACTCTCTCACACTGAGGAAGAAAGAGTGAAGCCATTCAGACTAGTGAGACAGAATTGGCTTGCGGATTTAAAGATGTTTTATTGACTATCTAATTTGAATCTGCTTACAACAAAAAGGAAAATGTCTAATATGTAAAGTAATGAATGAAAAAATGTTTATCCTAAGTCATTATTGAGTACAAATCCACAGCTTAACAATGTGATTTAAGGAGAAAGCAGGAGAGCATGCAACTGCTCTAACACACAGGGTTAAGTTGAAAGGTAAAAGTACATTTGTTTTGGTAATTCTAAATATACAAATATAGTATTTACCAGATCTACCCTGTAGTGCAGCACTGCTTAATTTCCAAATATACAGTCATTCAAAACCTTAAGGAAACATTAAAAATGTTCCAGGCTACTTTATTGAACATTAATGAATATTGTGTCCTTGAGATATTAGAGCTAAAAATACCATTGCTTTTAAAGTTAAAGGCTATAGGAATAATAAAAGTATCACTATTTTGTTTCTTTTAGTCTCTCAGATGGCTTTATGTTAAAGGGATCGATATGTTAAAAGAAGATTGATCTGGCGAAATGAAAGCTGTCCTCTTAGCAAAACGTCAACATTACAACATTTCCCAAGCATTTCCTATTACTTTGATCAACTATTTCTAAACAGTTTAATCAAGGGGCCCCTACTTAACACACCTCATGTTCTTCACTGGCAGCTGGAATGGAACCCCTATGGTGCTCTGATTTGACCCTAAACATTACATCCATGGTTAGTGTTAAATTACTGACATCTAAGGAATAAGGAATCAAAGGCATTGAGAGGCACACAAAAGATATTTTGGTCGGGAAGAAGGGTGAAGATTAAGTTGAAACATTTAGTCCCTTCTACAATCAAGTCCTAATTATACCATAATTAAGTCTCAACCAAGTCCTGATTAACTCTTACCCTTCAGGAATTACATACTATATAGTGATTAGATACTGAAGAAAACAAAGAAAAGCATTTGAAAATACATAAAGAAATAGAAACATGGAATTTCTCACAAGGCCCTGGATCAAAAAAATTTACAAAAGAGCTTTTGAAAATAACCACTATTTGTGAGCTTATTAATACACAGAGATCACTTTGTTTAAACTAACTCATGTTAACTTACCAATAAAATAGTAAACAAACCAACATTTTAAACAATTTTATAAATTACTTGTCATTTTTTTGTTTGTTAGTGTCACTCTCTCAACAATATACAAAAATAACGCTACAGGACTATCCACCTAACCTGTCTCCATCTCCCACACAGTCCTGGGCCCTGGAAAGAGACTGGTCAATCTTCACTGTAGATGTCCCCCGCAAAGGGCAGGTGCATGTGGCTGCCAGTGACATTGGGCAATCGAGATAAGTCCGGCAGGCTCTGGATCCGGGACCTGAGTTCTTTGCGCACCAGGGAAACTCTGGCTAACTTGCGCTTGTATTCCTGTAACATCAAATAGTTTTCATTAGAATTCTGGCAGTTCAAGAAGTGCTATACACTCAGTTAATGCTGAATAAAAAAACGATTATTACAATGTGAGATTTAGGATCTAAAGAGACTTTGGAAATAGACAACCAGGTAAACTCTGTTATTCTTATAAAAAACCACAATCTTTTATCCCCCCCCACCCCACCCCCCCGCCGGCCGCTGGCCGCCGGCCACACCAGCAAAAAACCACAATCTTTTAATAATTTATTTTATTGATTTTAGAGAGAGGAAGGGAAAAAGAAGTGAGAGGAAGGGAGCGAGCGGGGCGGGGGGCGGGAGAGGGAAGGGGGGGAACATGACATCTATGTGAGAAACATCAATCGGCTGCTTTTGGAATGCGCCCTTACTAGGGATTGAGTATGTGCCCCGATTGCACATCAGAATCACCTAGGGAACTCAGATTTTTCAAGAGAACTCCAGCCCCTCTCCATGTCAATTAAGTGAGAATCTCTGGAAGTGGGTCCACGACTTGTGAACTTTGTAAAAGCTCCTAAAAATGATGCTGATACACAGAATTGTGAGCCACTTCCCTGCAGTTTCTCTGCCTAAAATTTAATAAAGTAGTACGATTTTTGTACGATTGACCCTTCTCTTTCAAATAACTACAACTGGGGAAAGGGGTTGGTCAGAATTACCATAACCCAACTGCTCTAACAGAATGAGGGAAAGGGGGGTTCTGACACACTGGGAGCTGGGCACACTGGCAGACAAAGCAGGCAAGGTTGAAGGCTGGATAAGTCAAGGATAGCTTTGGGCACATGGGAGAGGAGTAAATCCTTGCCATGTCTTACATGTCCCTGCATTTCTAATCTATCATGAAGAGCAACGAAGAATAAATAAGAGAGAGCTTAATAGGGAGCCATAATCTCAAGACACGGTTTTCCTCTTCCCTTTCCCCCTTCACCAGCGATGCACACAAACACCAGGTAGATTCCAGGAGAGCAGCACAGTGACATGCAAAAGATGGGCCCAAGGGCAGTTCTCATCAGAGCTGCATACGTCTCAGCTGGGTCTCATCACACATCTCCATACTCAGCACGTGCCTATTCCTTAGGACATGCGAGTATGAGGGTATACACACGTCTCCATCTGTCTCGTTGTTCTTAGCTGAGTAATTTTTTAATAAATAAGACATAAGACCTAAAACACTCTGGGGTCAGCACAAAATACTTAGGTGCTATTTGAATGTGCTAAAAGCAACTACTCTCTGCCTCTTGAGGCCGAATGTTTTGAGAAGTGTCATATATGGCTTTAGTGCTCACTACTGCCCATCCTAATCTCTAGAATCCAGATAAGATCTTCTTCAATGATTGATTTCTCTTAATCCTTTCATTCAAATGACATGTGGCACCCTGACCAGTGTGTACAGTGGTTAGAGCGTCAGCCTGAGCACTAAAGGGTCATGGTTTGCTTCCTGGTTAAGGGCATGTACCCAGGTTGCAGGTTCAATGCCCAGCCCTGGGCAGGGTGAGTGCGGGAGGCAACGAATCGATGTGTCTCTTTCACATCGACGTTCTGTCTCTCTCCCCCTTCCCTCCTTTCCTTTCTAAAACTCAATGGGAAAAAAAAATCCTCTGGTGAGGATTAACAATAACAAAAAAAGATGGCAATTAAAAGCCCTCAGCCAACTGGTATACATTGTACGCAAAAAACTGGTAAACATAACAAA